GTCCTGCTGCCGTCTCCCCTTCCCAAGAGCTGCCTCCCCTCCTGGCTGCAGGCTCCCTTCGGGCGCTGCAGGCTGCAATGCGCTCGCCCCCAGCTCCTCTTCTCCGTGCCGACCGAGCCCAGCTCCCTCAACCTGTCCTCACAGGGAGCTGCTGCAGCCCCTGATCGTCTTCGTGGCTCCTCCGGCCCCTCTCCAACAGCTCCCTGCCCTTCTTGTCCTGGGGGCTCCGGCCCTGGGCACCGCACTGCAGGTGGAGCCTCACAAGAGCAGAGCAGAGGGGGACCATCACCTCGCTGTCCCTGCTGCCACCCCTGTGCTGATGGAGCCCAGGATCCCATTTGCTTTCCTAGGAGCACGCTGCTGGCTCACGTTCAGTTTTCCATCTATCAAGACCCCTCAGTCCTTCTCCTCAGGGCTGCTCTCAAGGGCTGCGCCTTCCAGTCTGTACGGATGCCTGGGATTCCTCCGGCCCAAGTGCAAAACCTTGAACTCTGCCGTGCTGAACTCCATCAGGTTCACCCAGCCCCACCTTTCCAGCCTCTCGAGGTCCCTCTGCATGGCATCCCTTCCTTCCACCGCTCAGCTTGGTGTCGTCAGCAAATTGCTGAGGCTGCTCTCCGTTCCGTCATCGCTGTCATTGATAAAGATGTCAAAGAGCACCGGTGCCAAGGCAGAGCCCTGGGGGACGCCGCTCAGTGCCGGCCTCCACCTGGATGTAGAACCATTCATTACCATCCTCTGCAGCCTTTCAACCAGTTCCTTATCCATTGCATGCTCCACCCATCAAATCCACATCCCTCCAATTTGGAGACAAGGACGTGGTGGGGGACCGAATCCAAGGCCTCGCTCAAGCCCAGCTGAATGACATCGGTCGCCTTTCCCTCATCCACCGACGCCGTCCCTCCATCACAGCAGGGCACCGTGTTGGTCAGGCATGACCTGGTGAAGCCGTGCTGACTGTCTTTGATCATAGAATCATAGAATCATAGAATCACCAAGGTTGGAAAAGACCTAAAAGATCACCCAGTCCAACCGTTCACCTGTTCCCAACAGCTCCCACTGAACCACGTCCCTCAACACAACATCCAGCCTTTCCTTCAACACCCCCAGGCTCGGTGACTCCGCCACCTCCCTGGGCATCCATTGCAGTGACAGACCGCCCTTTCCAAAAAGTAATTCTTCCTGATGTCCAGCCTGAATCTCCCCTGCCGTAGCTTGAAGCCGTTCCCTCTGCTCCTATCACTGACACGAGAGCAGAGGCCGACCCCCAGCTCCCTGCAGCCTCCCTTCAGGCAGTCATAGAGAGCAGTGAGGTCTCCCCTGAGCTCCTCCTCTCCAGGCTGAACATTCCCAGCTCCTTCAGCCTCTCCTCATCAGCCCTGTGCTCCAGACCCCTCACCATTTCATTGCCCTCCTTTGAACACGTTCCAGGGCCTCAACGTCTTTCTTGCAGTGAGGGGCCCAAAACTGGACACAGCACTCGAGGTGCGGCCTTACTAGAGCTGAGTACAGGGCACAATCACCTCTCTGCTCCTGAAGGCAGCGCTGTTTCTGATGCAGGCCAGGCTGCCCTTGGCCTTCCTGGCCACCTGGGCACACTGTGGGCTCATATTCAGCCCAGCATCCATCCATACCCCCAGGTCCATTTCCTCTACGCCGTCCTCCAGCCACACCGCCCCAAGCCTGCAGCGTCGCCTGGGGTTGTTGTAGCCCAAGCGCAGGACCCGGCATTTGGCCTTGTTGAAACCCATTCCATGGGCTTCAGCCCAGCTCTCCAGCCTGTCCAGATCCCTCTGTGTGGCCTCGCCAGCCCCTGGCAGATCCACACTTCCAGCCCATTTGGTGCCATCTGCGAATGTACTGAGGGTGCACTCGATGCCCTCCTCCAGGCCATCAATAAAGATCTTGAGGAGGACAGGCCCAGCACCGAGCCCTGGGGCACACCGCTCACAACCGGTCGCCAGCTGGGTTTGACTCCATTCACCACCACTCTCTGTGCCCGGCCCTCCAGCCAGCTCCTCACCCAGCACAGCCTGCACCCAGCCAGGCCTCGGGCAGCCAGCTTCTGCAGGAGGAGAATTGGAGGAGAAGAAGGTGATGAGGAGCCGTCAGCGCGGGTTCACGGGGGGAGAATGGCACAGCCTGCTAGGATGGGTGGAGGGGGGAGAGCAGGGGTGTCATCCAACGCCGTCCACCCGGCTTTGAGGACTGTCCCCCAACCTGCAGATAGCAGAGCGTGGGGCAGACGAGCGGATGGGCTGAGAGCCGGGGAAGGCGGTGCCGGCTCGGAGCCCTGGGACCAGCAGCGATGCCCAGGGGTTGGTGCTGGGGCCGGTCCTGTTCAGCATCGTCGCCAACGACCTCGATGAGGGATGGGTGTCCACACAGTGAGTGCAGCAATGATACGAAGCCAGGAGGAAAGGCTGAGCAGCGGGTCGCTCAGCCTCGACGAAGAAGAATCACACAGAATCACAGAATTGTAGGGGTTGGAAGGGACCTCCAGAGATCATGGAGTCCAACCCCCTGCCAAAGCAGGTTCCCTTATAGCAGGGCGCACAGGTCGGCATCCAGGCAGGTCTTGAACATCTCCAGAGCAGGAGACTCCACCACCTCCCTGCAGCCTGTTCCAGTGCTCCTTACCTCACTGTAAAGAAGTTCTTGTGCACATTGGTGCAGAACTTCCTATGCTGCAGTTTCCAGCCGTTTCCCCTTGTCCTGTCTCCACTCACCACTGAAAACAGTCTGGCCTCGCCAGCTCATAGCTGCCCTGGTGCCACGTGGCCATGCTGCATCCCCAAGGACTGTGCAGGACAAAGTGATGGGTACAGGGATACCATGCAGCAGTGTTAATGCATCTCCAATTTGTGTTTATCCAAAAAGAGCTTGGTCCACTGTGACGCTGCCTCCTGACCAAAGTCCCTCATTTCTACCCTGCAGAGTAAGGAAAAGATGAAGAAACGATTAAGCAATTTTCTGTGCCAAATTACGGTGCAGTGCCAGTGCTGCACAGAGTGTCCTGTCTGCACAGAACCTGGCAGAGGACTAAAGCAGAGGATACCAGGAAGACCTCGTGCTGGCACAGAGAAGGTACACAGTATGCAGGCAGCCCATGTGTTGCATCTCCTCTCCCCTTTGCTACTCCCCAAGAAACCCATGTGTGTTGCAAGACAGACCACAACAGTTCCTAATGAGGCACAGCAGTGAGGGCGAGAAGAGACCCAGGGAGCAGAGACCACCATCACAGCAAGGAATGAACAGATTAAGGTGGGAGTTGAGGGAAACTGGCTGCCCTATTTCCTTACATTGGGGATTTCCTGAGTTTTGTTTGTTTTCTTTTTATCCAGGCAATGGCTTGACATCCAGCAAGGGTGGCAAAACTGGTTTAAACGGTCACCACCCTTTGTGTCCCCTTCCCCCTGGAATCCTGTTCCCATTATTGGTGGCAGGGTGCAAGCTGAGCATCTGAGGCTGGATGGAGGAGGTGATCTGGCTGAAAGCCCCCTGACTTCCCCCTGGGCCATTTTCCATCTGGATCTGCTCTCCCGCTTAGTTCATCACACAGTTTTGCCAGTTGAAGCAAGGGAGGGACACAGGGGTACATGTGAACAGCAGCTTAGATGCAGTTACTTAAACTGGCACTGCCCAGAGTAGTCATTCACCCCCTCAAAGATCTTATCGTGCCCATTTTTCTGAAAGCACAGATCCATGCCTGCAATGGTCTCTAGAGGCCCCTTCCAGCCCCTACAGCTCTTTGTCCTTTGTCCTCATGCTGGGATGGCCCTGTTGTTTCGTGTCCCTAAAAATGGCCTCTTGATCCACCGGATGACCTTCAACATCGAGTGTCCCTTGCTGGGGTCCCTTGTCCCTCCTGGAGCCTCTCAGACTCCCCTGAGGATGTTCAACCTCAAGATTGTCCCTCAGCGCCATCCCAGGGCCTCGTGCTGGGACGATCTCCTTTCACGTCCCCCATTGTGTGACCTTCAACGTTGGGTGCCCGTCAATGGTGCCCACTGTCACCCCTGGTGGCCCTCAGACCTCCGTGGGGACCTTGGGACCCATGGATGTCACTCAGCGCCGTCCCCTGTCCTCGTGATGGGATCCTCGCGTTGTTTTGTGGCCCCACAAATGATCTCTTGCCCCGCTGGATGACCCTTCAACGTCCCTCAGCACTGTCCCTTGTCTCCCTGGGGACAACAAGGTGGGTTCTTGGGGACACCAGAGCTGATCCTTGTTGACACCGGGGTGTCCTTTGTCCCTTGGTGACACCACGGTGGGTCCTTGGGGACATGAAGGTGTGCTCCTCGTCCCCCTGGGAACACCGCAGCTGATCCTTGGGACATCAGAGCGGGTCCTTGGGGACATGGAGGTGTGTCCCTTGTTCCCTTAGGGACACCAGGGTGGGTCCTTGGGGACATGAAGGTGTCTTTTGTCCCCTTGAGGATAGCAGGGCTGATCCTTGGGGACACAGGGGTTGGTCCTTGGGGACACGGAGGTGTCACTTGTCCTCATAGGGAGACACCAGAGCTGATCCTTGGGGACATCAGGGTGCCCTCGTCCCCTTGGAGACCCCAGGATTGGTCCTCGGGGACATGGAGGTGTCCCTTGTCCCCTTTGGGGCACCACAGCTGATCTCTGGGGACACCAGAGCGGCTCCTTGGGGACATGGGGCTGCCCCTCATCCCCTCAGGGGCAGTGGGGCAATTCCCAGTGACGCTGCACCGTCCCCCTTCCCACCCCCCCACATTCCTGTTGTCACCATACTGGTGGCCACATCCTGTCCCCACCCCAATCCCAGTTCCTCCTTCCACAGAACAGGGTGGCACCGAGGGGGGGGGGGGACGGGGGGACGGGGACAACATGTTTGGGGGGTGTCACCATAGGAGTGGGACATTTCTGGGGGGCGGCACTGGGGTGGTGGTGGCACGTGTCCAGGGGTGGCATCGAGGGGGGTTGACACGTGTCTGGGGGTGGTGACACACATCCGGAGGGGGTGGCACTGGGGAGGGGTGACAACTGCCTGTGGGTGTCCCCAGCAGTGTCACTGCTGCCATGGGTCAGGGCCGAGCAGGTGCAGGGCTGTGGGGCCAGAGGGAAAGGGGAGACGACGACGATGGGACCCCCCCCCAACCCTATCGCTGTCCCCACAGGTTGGGGGTGGCAATGGGGGTCCTGTGGGGCCCCTCTGGGGCTGTGGCTGCTGCTGGGGGCGGCCGTGGTGGCGTGGGGGCTGCTGCTGGGGACACTGCTGGGACGGCGTGAGTGGGGCAGGGAGGGGTGGGGGGATGTGGGGGGAGATGTGGGGACATTGGGGAGAAGGGACGTGAGGAGGATGTGGGGATGTTGTGGGGACATGGGGGTGTGGGGACATGGGGGGACATGGGAACATTGGGGGATATGGGGGGGACATGGGGACATCGTGGAGGGGGGCTGTTATGGACACAGGGAGGTGAGGGGACATTGGGGGAGACGTGGGGACATCGTGGGGACATGGGGGTCAGGGGGCATGGGAGGGATGGAGGGGGACATTGTGGGGACGTGGGGGTGAGGGGACACGGAGATGTGGGGAAATTGGGGGACGTGGGGGTGTGGGGACATGGGGGGGACATGGGGGGACAGGGGGACAAGGTGGGGACATGGGGGTGTGGGGCCAGTGGGGACATGGGGGGATATAGGGACAATGTGGGGACATGGGAGGGCATGGGGGGCTGTGGGAATCTGTGGGGCCATGGGGGTCTACGAGATGCATGGAGTTATGGGGAGCTCTGGGCTCTGTGGGGCTGTGGGGATCTCGAGATGTCTATGGAACAGAGGGGGGCTATGGGGCGTCTGTGGGGTGTCTATGGGGCAGTGGGGGGGTCTATGAGATTGTCTATGGAGTCTATGGGACGCTGGGGTGTCAAAGATGATTCCATGGGGTATATGGGGGATCTATGGGGCAGTGTGGGGCTGTGGGGTGCCTACAGGGGGTCTATGGGGTGTCTGCAGGGCAGTGTGTTTTATGGGGGTAATGGGGAGGCTATGGGGTGTCTATAGGGTGTCTATAGGGTGTTGGGGTCTATGGGGTGTCTATAGGGTGTCTATAAGGTGTCCGGGTCTATGGGGTGGCTATGGGTTGTCTATGGGGTGTCTATAGGGTGTCGGGGCTATGGGATGTCTATTGGGGCTCTATAGGGTCTATGGGCAGAGCTCTGGGCTCTGTGGGGCTGTGGGGATCTCTGAGGTGTCTACGAGGCAGTGGGATTTATAGGGGCAGTGAGGGTCTATGGGGCGTCTGTGGGGTAGAGGGTTCTGTGGGAGTTATGGGGTGTCCATGGGGCGGTGGGGGTTCTGAGTGTCTATGGGGTTTCTACGGGGCAGTGGGGGGCTATCGGTTCTGTCGGGTGTCTGTGGGGCAGGGGGTGTCCATGAGATGTCTGTGGGGCAGTGGAGGGCTATGGGGCTTCCATGGGGGATCTATGGGGTGGCTATGGGGCAGTGGGAGGTGGCACCGTTCCCCCCCTCCCCAACAGATGCAGCGCTGTCACAGGAGATCCAGCGCCTGAGGGACACCCAGCGACTGCTGGAGAACAACGGTGGGGACATGGGGGGCGGGGGGGGGGGGGGATGTGGGGCGGGGGCGCCATGGGGACACAGGTGACAGCGGTGCTGCGCCCCACAGGCTCAGCGCTGGCGGCGGCACTGGCGATGCTGGAGGGGAACCAAACGCAGCTGAAGAAGCACGGTGGGTGTCACTGCCATCCCCCCGTCACGGCTGCGCCCCCATCTCTCCCCGTCCCTGCGCCCCCCGTGTCCCCTCTGTCCCCAAATGTCCCCAGCTGTCCCTTCCAGGTACGGAGACGGCGGCGCTGCTGGAGCTCCTCTCTGCCAACCAGAGCGCGACGCGGCTCGAGGGTGGGACACGGGGATGTGGGGACATGGGGGGACATGGGGGGACATGGGGATGTGGGGACAGAGGGATGGGGGGACACGGGGACATGGGGCTATGGGGGTGTGGGGGTGTGGGGAAGGGGAGATATGGGGGTGTGGGGACATGGGGGGACATGGGGGGACATGGGGATGTGGGGACATGGGGATTTGACCCCTTAAGGCTCCCGTAACCCCATAACGACCCCATTAAGGGGATTTGGGGACATGGGGATTTGGGGACAGAGGGACAGGGGGATGTGGGGACATGGGGATGTGGGGAAGGGGGGATGTGGGGATGTGGGGACATGGGGGGACATGGGGATGTGGGGACATGGGGATTTGACCCCTTAAGGCTCCTGTAACTCCATAACAACCCCATTAAGGGGATTTGGGGCCACATGGGGACATGGGGATTTGGGGACATGGGGGGACATGGGGATGTGGGGACAGAGGGATGGGGGGACACGGGGACATGGGGCTATGGGGGTGTGGGGGCGTGGGGAAGGGGATGTGGGGACATGGGGGGACATGGGGACCTGGGGACATGGGGATTTGACCCCTTAAGGCTCCCGTAACCCCATAACGACCCCATTAAGGGGATTTGGGGACATGGGGATTTGGGGACAGAGGGACGGGGGGATGTGGGGACATGGAGGGGCATGAGGGATGTGGAGACATGGGGATGTGGGGAAGGGGGGATGTGGGGATGTGGGGACATGGGGGGACATGGGGACCTGGGGACATGGGGATTTGACCCCTTAAGGCTCCCGTAACCCCACAACGACCCCATTAAGGGGATTTGGGGCCACATGGGGACATGGGGATTTGGGGACAGAGGGACGGGGGGGTGTCGGGACATGGAGGGGCATGAGGGATGTGGAGACATGGGGATGTGGGGAAGGGGGATGCGGGGGTGTGGGAGCACGGGGACACGGGGGGACAAGGGGACATGGGGACGTGGGGAGATGGGGGTGTGGGGATGTGGGGGGGGTGGGGATGAAGGGACCACGGGGGCGCGGGGACAAGGGGACAAGGGGACATGGGGACGTGGGGACGTGGAGAGGTGGGGAGGTGGGGGCACGGAGAGGCGGGGATTTGGGGACAGTGGGGACAGGGGGCCGTTGGGCAGGCGGTTCCGTCCCCACAGTTTCGGGGACGATGGTGTCGGTGTGGAGGGAGCGCAGCACCACACGCAGCGCTCTGCACCAGCTGCTGCACGCCTTGTGGGCCCTGAACCGTGAGCAACAGCGGGGGGGGGGGGGGCAGGGGGACATCGGGGTCTGCGGGGACACGGGGACCCCAAGGGGGGGGGGGGGGAACATCGGGGTCGGGGTGTGGGTGATGTCCCATGGGGGGTAATGAGGGTGGATGGGGACGCTGGGGTCTGTGGGGTCCTGGGGTTCCTATGGGTGGTGACACTGGGGTCAGTTGGTGACAATGGGGGTGAAGTCCCACCAGGGGTGACATTGGGGTCTGTGGGGACACAGGGACCCCAAGGGGGGTGACATTGGGGTCTGTGGGTGGGTGATGTCCCATGGGGGGTGACATTGGTGGATGGGGACGTTGGGGTCTGTGGGGTCCTGGGGTTCCTATGGGTGGTGACATTGGGGTCGGTCGGTGACAATGGGGGTGAAGTCCCACCGGGGGTGACATTGGGGTCAGTGGGGACACAGGGACCCCATGGGGGGTGACATTGGGGTCAGTGGGGACACAGGGACCCCACGGGGGGTGACATTGGGGTCGGGGTGTGGGTGATGTCCCATGGGGGGTAATGAGGGTGGATGGGGACACTGGGGTCTGTGGGGTCCTGGGGTTCCTATGGGTGGTGGCATTGGGGTCAGTGGGTGAAGTCTCAATGGGGGTGACATTGAGGTCTGTGGGGACACAGGGACCCCATGGGGGGTGACATTGGGGTCTGTGGGTGGGTGATGTCCCATGGGGGGTGACACTGGTGGATGGGGACTTTGGGGTCTGTGGGGCCTTAGGATCCCCGTGGGTGGTGATATTGGGTGAAATCCCACTGGGGGTGACATGGGGGTCCGTGGAGGGGTGACATGGGGGCCGGCGGGTGCCAACGTCCCCATGGTGCCCCCCAGGCTCTTCGTGCCAGGTTTGCCCCCCCGGGTGGCGGCTGCACGGGGGCAGCTGTTATATGGTGGGGAGCGGCGCTGTGGGGTGGGCGCAGGCGCAGGGCCGCTGCCGGGACAGTGGGGCACAGCTGGTGGTCATCGGTGATGCGCAGGAGCAGGTGGGTGCTGTGGGGTGTGGGGGGCGCTGAGGGGCCTTGCGGTCTGCTGTGGGGTGATGTGGGGCGGTGTGCAGCGCTATGGGGCACCGTGAGGTGCTATGGTGTGCTATGGTGACGTGGGGCGGTGTAGGGGTGTGGCTGTGGGGTGCTATGGGGGGCTATGGGGTGATATAGGGTTCCATGGGGCACTTATGGAGTACCTGTGGGGCGCTATGGGGCACTGTGAGGTGCTATGGTGTGCTATGCTGACGTGGGGTGGTGTGGGGCACTGAAGGACTTTATAGGGGTGTGGCTGTGGGGTGCTATGGGGTGATATAGGGTTCCATGGGTCACAGAGTCCCTATGGGGCGCTATGGGGTACCATGGGGTGCTACGGTGTGCTATGGTGACGTGGGGCGGTGTGGGGCACTGAAGGACTTTATAGCAGTGTGGCTGTGGGGTGCTATGGGGGGCTATGGGGTGATATAGGGTTCCATGGGGCACTTATGGAGTCTCTATGGGGCGCTGTGTGTGCCATTGGTTTCTATGGGGCGCTGTGGGGCGCTGTGGAGCTATGGGGCAGTGTAAGGTTCCATGGGGCTCTATAGGACACTATTGGTTCCTATGGAGTGCCATTGGTTTCTACGGTGCGTTACGGGGCGCTATGGGGCGCTATGGGGCACTATGGGTGCCGCTGGTTTCTATGGGACGCTATAGGGCGGCGCTGTGGGTCCCACAACCCCCTTCCCCACCCAGGAGTTCCTGACTTCGTTGGCCCCCCCCTACGAGACGTGGATCGGACTCCATGACCGCAGCACGGAGGGCTCCTTCCAATGGGTGGATGGCAGCGCCCTCAGCTTCCGGTGGGAGGGGTCACGGGGTCACGGGGTCACGGGGTCATGGGGGGTCACCGGGGGTCACGGGGGGCCACGGGGGGGTTGAGGGTTATTGGTTGTTGGGGGGGGGGGGGGTGGGGCTCATAGGGGGTTTGGAGTCGGGGTCTGTGGGGTCATGGGATGCTATGGGGTGTTAATGGGGTCTATGGGCTATGGAGCATCTATGGGGCCTAAGGGGCTATAGGGTGTCTATGCGGTTTCCATGGGGTGACTATGGGGCCATGGGGTGGCTATGGGGTGTCTATGGGTCTACAGGGTCTATGGGGTTTTCATGGGCTCTATGGGGAGTCCATGGGGTATCTATGGGGTGTCTATGGGTCTATGGGGTGGCTACGTGGCGTCCACAGAATCTATGAGTTGGTTATGGGGCTATGGGGTCAACGAGATGGCAGTAGAGCTATAGGGTGGCAATGGGGTGCTTATGGATCTATGGGGTGGCTATGGGGCTTCCATGGGATCTATGGGGTGGCTATGGGGCTATAGGGTCCAGGGGATGGCTATGGGGTCTCCATGCAGGCTATGGGATGGCTATGGGGTTTCCATGGGATCTACGAGTTGGCTATGGGGTTATAGGGTCTATGGGATGGCTATGGGGTGGCTATGAGGTTTCCATGCAGGCTATGGGGTGGCTATGGGGTTTCCATGGGGGATCTATGAGTTGGCTATGGGGCTATGGGGCCTATGGGATGGCTATGGGGTGGCTATGGGGTTTCCATGCAGGCTATGGGATGGCTATGGGGTTTCCAAGGGATCTATGAGTTGGCTGTGGGGCTACGGGGTCTCTGGGATGGCTATGGGGTTATGGGGTCTCTGGGATGGCTATGGGGTTATGGGGTCTCTGGGATGACTACAGGGTTATGGGGTCTATGGGATGGCTATGGGATTATGGGGTCTCTGGGATGGCTATGGGGTCTATGGGGCTTCCATAGGGTCTCTGGGATGGCTATGGGGTGGCTATGGGGTTATGGGGTCTATGGGATGGATACGGGGTCTATGGGGCTTCCATGGGGTCTCTGGGATGGCTATGGGGTGGCTGTGGGGTTTGACACCCACCTTCTCCCCACAGGAACTGGCGCTGGGGTCAGCCGGATGAGGCCGGGGGGGGCGAGGACTGCGTGGCCATGGACTCCCGGGGGGGGTGGGGGGACAGACCGTGTGCGGTCAGCCTGGGGGGGTGGGTGTGCGAGAGGGGCTGGGGCTGCTGAGCTGCCCCATGGGGGGGGGAGGGACATCTATGGGGGGACACTGTGGGGGAAGCCGGGGGGGGGGGACGGCGGTGTTGGGGTGGAGATGGCAGCGGAGCTATGGGGCGGCTGTGGGGTGTCTATGAGTCTACGGGGCTTCCGTGGGATCTTTGAGTTGACTATGGGGCTATGGGGTCTATAGGGTGGCTATGGGGTGACTATGGGGCTTCCCTGGGGTCTATGGGATGGCTATGGGGTGGCTATGGGGCTTCCATGGGGTCTATGGGATGGCTATGGGGTGGCTATGGGGCTTCCATGGGATCTATGGGATGGATATGGGGTGGCTATGGGGCTTCCATGGGGTCTATGGGATGGCTATGGGGTGGCTATGGGGTGGCTATGGGGTCTATGGGGTGGCTATGGGGTGGCTATGGGGTCTATGGGGTGGCTTTGGGGTGGCTATGGGGTGGCTATGGGGTGGCTATGGGGTCTATGGGGTGGCTATGGGGTGGCTATGGGGCTTCCATGGGGAGGGGGGGAATGCACTTTGTTGAGGACAATAAAGGAATGGAACCTGACCTTGTGGGTGATTTGGCAGTGGGGGGGGAGGAGACAATGGGGACACGGGGGACATTTTGGGGCACGTGGTGCCTTTAATGCAAAATAGAGGGGCGTGGCCTCGCCGGGGGCGTGGCCTTTGGGTGCGGGCGTGGTCTTTTTGCGACTTTTGGTCAGATGGTGGGCGTGGCCGCTGGAAGCCCCGCCCCCTCCGCTGATCTCACGCGGGAGAGCTCCGCCCTCAGCTCCTCCTCCAGCGCTGCAGCCTCCACCAGGAACCGCGTGCCTGCACCAGTATGGACCAGTATGGACCAGTATGGGTGAATACCAGTATGGACCAGTATGGACCAGTATGGGTCAATACCAGTATGGACCACTATGGACCAGTATGGACCAGTATGGGTCAATACCAGTATGGACCAGTATGGACCAGTATGGACCAGTATGGGTCAATACCAGTATGGACCAGTATGGACCAGTATGGACCAGTATGGGTCAATACCAGTATGGACCAGTATGGACCAGTATGGACCAGTATGGACCAGTATAGATCAGTACCAGTATGGACCAGTATGGACCAGTATGGACCAGTATGGACCAGTATGGGTCAATACCAGTATGGACCAGTATGGACCAGTATGGACCAGTATGGGTCAATACCAGTATGGACCAGTATGGACCAGTATGGACCAGTATGGGTCAATACCAGTATGGACCAGTATGGACCAGTATGGACCAGTATGGGTCAATACCAGTATGGACCAGTATGGACCAGTATGGACCAGTATGGACCAGTATAGATCAGTACCAGTATGGACCAGTATGGACCAGTATGGACCAGTATGGACCAGTATGGACCAGTATAGATCAGTACCAGTATGGACCAGTATGGACCAGTATGGGTCAATACCAGTATGGACCAGTATGGACCAGTATGGGTCAATACCAGTATGGACCACTATGGACCAGTATGGACCAGTATGGGTCAATACCAGTATGGACCAGTATGGACCAGTATGGACCAGTATGGACCAGTATGGGTCAATACCAGTATGGACCAGTATGGACCAGTATGGATCAGTATGGACCAGTATGGACCAGTATGGGTCAATACCAGTATGGACCAGTAGGGACCAGTATGGACAAGTATGGACCAGTATGGGTCAATACCAGTATGGACCAGTATGGACCAGTATGGACCAGTATGGGTCAATACCAGTATGGACCAGTAGGGACCAGTATGGACAAGTATGGACCAGTATGGGTCAATACCAGTATGGACCAGTATGGACCAGTATGGACCAGTATGGGTCAATACCAGTATGGACCAGTAGGGACCAGTATGGACAAGTATGGACCAGTATGGGTCAATACCAGTATGGACCACTATGGACCAGTATAGATCAATACCAGTATGGACCAGTGTGGACCAGTATGGGTCAATACCAGTATGGACCAGTATGGACCAGTATGGACCAGTATAGATCAGTACCAGTATTGACCAGTATGGACCAGTGTAGATCAATACCAGTATGGACCAGTATGGACCAGTAAGGACCAGTATAGGTGAATACCAGTATGGACCGGTATGGACCAGTATGGGTCAGAATAGGTCCATACCAGTATGGACCAGTACAGACTAGTATGGACCAGTATGGACCAGTATGGACCAGTAAGTATCAGTATATGTCAATACCAGTATGGACCAGTATGGACCAGTAAGGACCAATACAGGTCCATACCAGTATGGACCAGAAGAGGTCGATACCAGTATGGACCAGTATGGACCAGTATGGGCCACTAAGGACCAATACCAGTATGGACCAGTATGGACCAGTATAGCTCAATACCAGTTCAGACCAATATGGACCAGTATGGATCAGTACAGGTCAATACCAGTGCAGACCAGTAGGGACCAGTACAGACCTGTATGGACCAGTAGGGACCAGTAGGGACCAGTATAGACCTGAATGGACCAGTGGGGACCAGTACAGGTCAATACCAGTGCAGACCAGTATGGACCAGTATAGATCAGTGGAAACCAATCCCAGTATGGACCAGTAGGGACCAGTATGGATGGATATACACCAGTATGGACCAGTATGGTTCCATAAGGGAACAGCAGAGATCAGTATAGGCCAATCCCAGTAGGGACCAGTAGGGAGGACCAGTATGGACCAGTATGGACCAGTATGAGCCTGAATGGTTCAGTATGGACCAGTAGGGACCTGAATGGACCAGTATGGGACCAGTAGGGACCAGTACAGACCTGAATGGACCAGTACGGACCAGTACGGACCAGTATGGACCAGTATTGACCAGTATAAACCTGAATGGACCAGTAGGGACCAGTATGGACATGAATGGACCAGTAGGGACCAGTATGAACCAGTAGGGACCAGTATGGACCAGTATGGGCCTGAATGGACCAGTATGGGTCAGTATGGACCAGTAGGGACCTGAATGGACCAGAATGAACCAGTATGGACCAGTAAGGACCTGAATGGACCTGTATGGACCGGTATGGACCTGTATGGACCAGTACAGACCTGAATGGACCAGTACGGACCAGTATGGACCAGTACGGACCAGTATGGACCAGTACGGACCAGTATGGACCAGTAGGGACCTGAATGGAACAGTATGGACCAGTATTGACCAGTATAGACCTGTATGGACCAGTAGGGACCAGTATGGACCTGAATGGACAAGTAGGGACCAGTATGGACCAGTAGGGACCTGTATGGACCAGTATGGACCAGTACAAACCAATAGCAGTCCCCCCAGTCCCTCCCAGTCCCCCCCAGTACCTTCCAGCCGCAGCCGCCCCACGTCGGCCCCAAAGCGCTGCGCCATCACGGCTCTGTGCCGCCCTGCGGGGGACAGCAGCACCACGGCCCCAAACGTCCCCGACATCCCCACTGATGGCCCCATGGCCCCACTGTGCTCGTTGTCCCTTTGTCCCCACATCCCCACATTCCCCCCATTGTCCCCATAGCCTCCAATGTCCCCAAATCCCCCAATGTCCCGAGTGTCTCTAATGTCCCCAATGTCCCCAATGTCCCCATATCCCCATAATGTCCCCAATGTCCCCATTACACTGGATGTCCCCAATACCCCCAAGTGTCCCCAATGTCCTCATTGTTCCCAGCATCCCCAATGTCCCCACTGCCCCCATTGCCCCCAATGTCCCCATATCCCCAATGTCCCCAATACCCCCAAATGTCCCCAATGTCCTCAATGTCTCCAATGTCCCCAATGTTCCCAATACTCCCAGTGTCCCCATTGCTCCCAGTGTCCCCAATGTCCCCATTACACCCGATGTCCCCAATACCCCCAAATGTCCCCAATGGCCCCACTGTCCTCGTTGTCCCTTTGTCCCCACATCCCCACATTCCCCCCATTGTCCCCATAGCCTCCAATGTCCCCAAATCCCCCAATGTCCCAAGTGTCTCCAATTTCCCCAATGTCCCCATATCCCCATAATGTCCCCAATGTCCCCATATCCCCTAGCGTCCCCAATGTCCCCATTACACTCGATGTCCCCAATGCCCCCAAATGTCCCCAATGTCCTCAATGTCCCCATTGCCCCCAATGTCCCCAAAATCCCCAGTGTCCCCAATGTCCTCACTGTTCCCAGTATCTCCAATGTCCCCATAATGTCCCCACTGCCCCCAATGTCCCCATATCCCCCAGCATCCCCAGTGTCCTCATTGTTCCCAATGTCCCCAATACCCCCAAATGTCCCCAATGTCCCCATTGTTCCCAATGTCCCCATATCCCCCACTGCCCCCAATGTCCCCATTACACCCGATGTCCCCAATACCCCCAAATGTCCCCAATGTCCCCACTGTCCTCTTTGTCCCCAGTGTCCCCATGCCCTCCCTGCTCCCCCCCCCGCTGTCCCCATACCATCCTTCTCCTCCTGCTCCACCCTGCCCCGCAGATCCTCCATCCGCTGCCACATCTGGGGCACTGTGGAGGGGGGGTCACCGTGGGGGGGGGGTCCCCACTTTGAGGTCCCCCCGTTTTGGGGTCCCATTGGGTGGGGCTTTTTTTTTTGGGGGGGTGGGGGGGGGGTCCCATCTCACCTCCCGCCCACAGCTCCTCCTGGTGGTCCCGCAGCTGCACCAAATCTCGCGAGATTTCCATGTCTGTTGGATGGGGGAAGGGTCCGGAGGGGGGGGGGAACGGGGGGGGGGGGTGGTTGGTCACTATGGGAAGGGGTCGATCTGGATTTGTGGGGCATAATTTGGTGGAGGGGGTCTCTATGGGGGGGGGGGGGTCTTTTGGGGCAGTGTCACACTGGAGGGGTCTCTATGGGGGGGATCTCTATGGGGAGGTTGCTTTGGGGGGGGTTGGGGGTCACTTTGGGGCAGGGGAGGGGGGAAAACTATGGGGGATCCCATGAGGGAGTTGTTATGGAGGGGGGTCTCTGTCTCTTTTGGGGAAGGGTCTCTCCGGGGGGGGGGGGGGCACTCACCCAGGCTGAGCAGCGCCAGCAGCAGCCCTGCCCACAGCAGCATGGAGCAGCCCAGCGCCCCCCCCAGCAGTGGGGCTGCAATCGAAAGGGGGAGAGTAGGGGGGGGGGGGGGGGGGGGGCAAGAGAGCCCCAAAATCCCACCGTGAAGCACCACCAACCCCCCCCCCCCCACTGCAGGACACCAAATTGCACCCTTCCCCAACTCACAGGAAACCCAAATACCCCGCTGTGTCCCCCCTCCCCCCTTAAACCTCTATGGGATCCCTATAGAACCCCCAATTGCAACCCCCCCCGCCCCCCCTCAGGATTCCAAATCTCCCCCCCCTTGACCCCAATGCCCCCCAGGACATCCCAAAATCCCCCCCATCAAAATCCCAAATCCTCCCTCCAGACCACAAATCCCCCCCCCCCCCCCCCACCGATCCCAAATCCCTCCCCATCACCCAGGACCCCAAACACCCCCCCTCGACCCCCTAAATCAACCCCCAGACCCTCGATTACCCCCCCATCAAGACCTGAAAATCCCCCGCCCCCCCAAAGCCCCCCCCAGTAGCCTTCATGACTGCAAATCCACCCCCCAGGACTCCCCAAATTCCCCCAGGACCCCAAACCCCCTCACCATCCCCCAAGCTCCCACACTTCCCCCCTCAAGACCCTCAAATCACCCCCAGGATCCCCAACCCCCCCAGGACCCCGAATCCCTCATCAAGACCCCCTACATCCCCCCCCTCCAGACTCCCAAATCCACCCCGGAACCTCAGAAGCATTCATGACTTCAAATTCCCCCCAGGGGATCCCCCAGCAACTCCCTCCACGACCCCAAATCTCCCCCAGGACATCCAGTTACCCCCCCTCTCAAGACCCCAAAATCTCCTCCCCAGGAGCCTCCCCCCCCCCTCCCATCAGCCTTCAGGACCCCGAATCCCCCCTCCTCCAGCACCTTCCAAACCCCCCAGGACCTCAACCACCCAAAACACCCCATCAAGACCCTCAAATCCCCCCCCAGGACCCCAAATCCCCCACCCCCCCCGTTGGTCCCCCTGCTCCCACCTGCCCGTCCCCAATTCATGGTGCTGTGAGTGCTATGGGGTCAGCTGTGCCCTATAGGGCCACTCCCCTCCCCCCCCCCCCCCCATAGAGCACACTCCTATGGGGCCACACCCCCCATGGGCACCCAGGGCCACCACCCTGGTCAGAAATGTCACTTGTCCAAAATGTCCTCACTGGGGTCCCCAGTGTCCCCATATCCATAATGTCCCTATGTCTCCACATCCCCAATGTCCCCAGTATCTCCATCTCCCCATCCCCCCCCCCCCCCATATCCACAACATCCTCATGTCCCCAACGTCTGCAGTGTCCCCATGCCCCCCCCCTCATGTCACATTGTCCCCAGGCAGCTGGCATTGCCACGTGTGTCCCCCTCTGTCCTCGGTGTCCCCATGTCCTCCTCCTCCCCCCAACCCCAACTCTGGCCCCCAAAAAGGGGAACCGAAAGGGGAAGCGCCACTGGGTGGGGTGGGGGGGGGACAACTTCTGGGGAAGGGACAGGAGGGGGGGGAACGTGGGGACATGGGGATGTGGGGACACTGGGGACATTGGGGACACTGGGGACATGAGGACATTAGGGACATTAGGGACACGGGGATGTGGGGACAGAGTCCTTCCTTATGTCTCCTTATGTCCCCATATCCCTTATGTCCCACATCCCCACGTCCCCAATGCCCCCGCATCCCTATCATGTCCCCGTGTCCCCAAATCCCCATTTATCTCTGCAGTCCTCATTGTCCCCACTGTCCCCAATGGTCCTCAATGAGCTCTGATGTCCCCATTGTCCCTATTGACCCCTGAATGGTCCCCAAAGTCCACACTGTCCCTATTGTCTCCATTGTCCCTAAATTCCCCATTGTCCCATTTGACCCCAAAGTCCCTGTTGTCCTCACCGCCCCCAAAGTTCCCATTGTTTTTACTGTCTCCATTGTCCCCATGATCCTCAGTGTCCCCACTGTCCCCCAGTGTCTCCCCGCCCTACCGTCCCCAGCCCCTTCCCCTATAAACCCCTCTGGAGGACCGCACGGAAGGGGGGGCACGACAAGCAGAGCGCCGCTCTGCGCGCTCCCACTCTATGATACGAGAGCGGGGGTGCGAGTCGAGCACTTCCTGTCCCCACAGATCAGAGCTCCGCTTACTTCCTGTTCCCTCAACCCCCCCCCCAGGTGACTTCCGGTTCCGGCGCAGCTGAGTTCCGGTTCCGGCGCGGTGCCCTGGTGACCGCCAGTGCCATGGGCGCTCACCTGGCGCGGCGCTATGCGGGGGGCGCGGACACGGAGCCGGATCCGCTGGCGATGCCCACGTTCCCCGCCGACCTGGGGATGCCAGGGCGAGAGCCGCGCAGTAAGGGGGGGGGGGGGGCTGGGCCCAAGGGGGGCCCGTGTGGGGCCTGGGGGGTTTCTGTAGGGCCGGGGTTGGACTGTATGGATCTGAGGGGTCCGCATGGGGTCTGGGGAGGGGGCGTGTGGGGTCTGCGGGGTCTCTGTAGGATCGGAGAGGGTCCGTGTGGGGCTCCGGGGAGTCCCTGAGGGGTCCCTGAGGGGCCTGGGCGATCCATGCGGGTGGCTGTGGGGTCGGGGGTCTCTGTGGGGCTGAGGGGGTCCGTGTGGGGCGGTGGCGGCTACCCCCACTGTCCCCCTGATCATGTCCCCAGTCCCCACCCCGTGTCCCTTTGCCCCCTTCCCCCGTGACCCCATCCCCAACCACTGACCCCTTATCCCCTGTCCCCAGCCAATGACTCCAATCCCTTCCTCTTCTGTCCCCCGACTGCGTCCCCCTGTCCCCAACCAATGTCACTTTGCTCCCCTCTGACCCTGTCCCCTGTGTTTCTCCATCCCCAACCCCATCCCATTGTATCCTGTCCCCTCGTCCCAAACCAATGTCCCTGTCCTGTCTCTTCACCTCCCGTCCTGGCTGTGCCCGTGTCCCCAACCCCGTCCCTTTGCCCCCAGCCATGGTGGCCACAGCTCAGCAGTTGTCGGACGGCCGCGTCCCGTTGGCGCAGCGGGATTTCTGTGCCCACCACCTCCTGCGCCTGATGCGCTGCCGCCGCGACGCCTTCCCCAGCCTGTGGCAGTGCCAGCACCTGAGGCACCAGTGGGACAGCTGCCAGCACGATGAGTAGGGGGCGGGGGACGGGGGGAGGCCAGGGGGGTAGGGGGACGTGGGGACATCGAGGGGAGGGGGACAGGGGAAGACATAGGGACAGAATGAGGACGTGGGGACAATGTGGAGCGTGGGGATGTGAGGACGAGGTGGGGGCGTGGGGACAAAATGGGGCGTGGGGCCAAGGTGGGGGGGGGGCATGGGGACAAGGAGGGGTACAGGGATATGGGGACGGAGTGGGGGTATGGGGACCAGAAGGGAGCACAGGACAAGGTGAGGACGTGGGATGTGGAGGGGACACAGGAACAAGGAGGGAACAAAGTGGGGACATGGGGTCAAGTAGGGGGGATGGGGACAAAATGGGGCATGGGGTCAAGGTGGGACATGGGAACAAGGAGGGGACACCGGGACAAAGTGGGGTATGGGGACAAAGTGGGGACATGGGGACAAAGTGGGGACATAGGGACAAGGTGGGGTATAGGAACAAAGTGGGAACACATGGGGAAAAGGTGGGGTATGGGGACAAGGTAGGGACACAGGGACAAAGTGGGGACACAGGGACAAGGTGGGGTATGGGGACGAGCTGGGGACATGGGGACAAAGTGAGGTATGGGGACAAGGTGGGGAATGCGAACAAAGTGGGGACACAGGGACAAGGTGGGGACATGAGGACAAGGTGGGACATGAGGACCAGAAGGGGATATGGGGGCACAGGCTCAAGGAGGGGACGTGGGAACAAAATGAGGCACGGGGACAAAACGGGGGACATTGGGGACACTGGGTTCGAGGAGGGGCCGTCCGTCCGTCCGCCCGCAGTTACGTGATGCGCATGAAGGAGTTTGAGCGCGAGCGGCGGCTGCTGCAGCGCCAGAAGCGAATCCAGAAGCGGGAGGCGGCGGTGGCTGCGGAGTGACGCCTTGGGGACCCCCCCCCCCACGGGACCCCCACCCTGTGGGGAGCGCTGGGCACGGAATAAAGCTCCAAACGGGAGCCCGCGTCCTTGGGGACAGTGACACCGAGACACGTGTGCAAGGGACGTCTTTTATTCTCGTCTGCGGGGACGGCGACGGTCGCACGCGGGGGACGCGGTCATTCCCAGCTGCCACAGGACAGGGACGCGCCACATGTGAGTGACAGGCGTCACACGTGAGTGACAGGTGCCACACGTGAGTGACAGGTGCCACACGTGACCCCACGGAACGGTCACGCGTCCCTTGTGGTGACACCGATCATCCCTGAGCCCGTGGAATGGTGACATGGGGTCACACCCGGCCCCGTGTGACAAGCGGTGACAGCGTGGGATGGGGGCGCCATGACTGCATCCAGCACCAGGCGGGGGGGGTCTGCTGTCCCCAAGGTGCCACCCAGATGTCCTTTGTCACCCAAGGCCCATTGTCACCTAAGCGCCCTTTGTCACCAAGGCCCTCTGTCACCCAGGGGCCTTTTGTCACCCGGATGCCTTTTGTCACCCAACTGTTGCTTGTCAGCCACGTGCTCTCCGTCACCCAGATGTCCTTTGTCACCCAGGTGTCCTTTGTCACCCAAGTGCCCCCTGTCACCCAGACGTCCCCTGTCACCCAAATGTCCCCCGTCGCTCGGGTGTCCTTTGTCGCTCGGGTGCCCCCCATCACCCAGACATCCATTGTCTCTCGGGTGCCCCCCGTCACCCCGCCGTCCCCCCCCGCTGTCCCCTGGGCTGGGGGGTGGTGGCGGTGTCCCCTCACAGCAGGAAGGGGACGATGGGGGAGCGCAGCGGTGGGTAATCGCGGAACTCCCGCAGGTAGCTGCGGTGCTTCCCCTGCGCCCATATCGCCATCTGCACGAAGCCCACCAGCGAGAACAGGGCCACTGCGGGGGGGGGGACGGCGTCAGTGCCATGGGGGGGGCGGGGGGGACATGGGGGTGTCTGCACAAAGCCCAGCAGAGAGAACAGAGCCATTGGGGGGGGGGGGCAGGGGATGGGGGGGATGGGATGGGGGGGGTGGGATATCTGCACAAAGCCCACCGGTGAGAACAGAGCTGGGGGGGGAGGAGGGGGACGGTGTCAGTGCCATGGGGGGGACTTGGGGGGATCTGGGGGGACATGGGATGGGGGGGGTGGCAATATCTGCACAAAGCCCACCAGTGAGACAGAGCCACTGGGGGGGGGGGGGGGGGGGGAAGGGGGGACAGTGTCAGTGCCATGGGGGGGGACTTGGGGGGGCGAGACAGGGGGCAGTGGGGGGGATGGGATGGGGGGGGTGAGAACAGAGCTGGGGGGGGGGAGGAGGGGGACGGTGTCAGTGCCATGGGGGGGGGAGACAGGTAATTGGGGGGACATGGGGAATGGGGGGTGGGATATCTGACAAAGCCCACCAGAGGGAACAGAGCCACTGGGGGGGGGTAACACTGGGCAGACAGGGGGATGGAGTGGGGGACAGGGGGACAGCGATGGGACATGGGGACGTTGGCAGTATGGGGGATGGAGACGCTGGGAAGACGTAAGGATGAGGGGGGGACATGGGGATGGGGGGGGCGTAGGGACACTGGGAGGATATGAGGATGGGGGGGGGACAGGGACAGTGGTGGGGATGTGGGGCCAGCGGGGGGGGGGCGAGGGATGGGGGGGGACATGGGACATTTATATGAACCCTACCAGGGAAAAGAGGGACCCGGGGGGGGGGGGGGGGGGGGGGGGGGGGTGGGGGGGGGGGGGGAGGGAGGGGTACAGCATCAGCCTTGGGGGGGGGGGGGACATGGGGACAAGTCATGGTGGGGACGTGGGGTCACAGGGGTGGGATGTGGGGTCATGGGGGGGGGATGTGGGGTCATGGGGGGGGACGTGGGGTCACAGGGGGGGGGATGTGGGGGTCACGGGGGGGACGTGGGGTCACAGGGGGATGTGGGGTCACGGGGGGGGGATGTGGGGTCATGGGGGGGGGATGTGGGGTCACGGGGGTGGGATGTGGGGTCATGGGGTGGGGATGTGGGGTCACAGGGGGGGGGGATGTGGGGGTCATGGGGGGGGGGGATTTGTGGGGTCATGGGGGGGGATGTGGGGTCACGGGGGGGATGTGGGGTCACGGGGGGGGACGTGGGGTCACAGGGGGGGGATGTGGGGTCACAGGGGGGGGGGGATGTGGGGTCACGGGGGGGGCCATGGGGCCCAGCTCACCAGGCAGACACTGCGTCATGATGGTAAACCCGATCCAGGAACCGACCTGGGGGGGGCAAAGGGGGTAAAATCTGGAGTGGGGGCAGCAGCACCCCAACACTGGGATGTCACCCCCCCCCCAAAATAGGGTGCACCCCCAAAAATGGACGTTCCTCCAGAATTAGGAGTGTTCCTCCCCCCCCCAAAAAAAGGGTTGCATTTCCCCCCTCCCCCCCCAAATATCCCACCCCCAAAATTGGGGTCCCCCTCTCAAAACAAGGCTCTCCCTCTCCCCCCCCCCCAGATCTGGGTGCCCCCCCCCCCACATTGGAGTCACAGCCCCCCCCCACACTGAGCACTGCCCCCCACATTTGAAGACGCCCCCAGAACCACAACCCCCCCCCCCCCCAAAGCCACATTTCCCCCCCAAATAGGGGTGCCCCATTATTTAAGGTACCCCCCCCCCCAAATTTGTGGACTCCCCCCACCTCATAGGTGTAGTTGGGACAGGACCACGAGCAGGAAGAGCCACGTGAAGGGATTTCGGGTGGGATATGGGATCTTCCGTGTCTTGAGCCTTGGGGGGGGGGGGGGGGGGGGGGAGAAATGGGGGGGGGGCACACCCCCCCAAATTAGACCCCCCCATCCCCGATAGGTGCAGGGGACTTCCCCCCATCTCCCCCCATAGGTGTGGGACCCCCCCCCCCTCCCAGCTCTTTATGTGGGCCCCTATCTGTGACCTCCCATGATGCACCCCCCCCCCCCACCCTTCCCATTCCCTGTGCCCCTCCATGTCCTCAATGTGCCCCCCCGAAT